ATTCTTGCCCCAAATCAATTCTTCAAAATTCAATGTTCTCAATTTCATTCAGCCATCTGAGACATATTTGTAGACAGATTGTACTATGCATTTTGGGGGGCATACCCACACAGTAAATAAGAGGCAGTGTAATGTGGAAGGCTGATGCATCTGCCTGAGGACAATATGCCCCTAAAGCTGGTATTCAAGACAGCTATGCAATGGGATTTAAAATACAATGTTTATTCTCATTATCAACCTGAATAGTAATTTAACTAATCGGTGGTTCATTTGAGATGTCTGTATTTTCCATTTACAATACAAACAGCTGCAGTCATTGGTTGGAAGGCATGGTCTCTGTGGAGACATAAATATGCAAAGAAGGGCAAGACCTAAAATCCTTCTGTTAACTCTCCACCCAGCTGTTAAGTGCATTTGTGAAATTAGAGTTGACCTATAAATGCACTGTAATGCTTTAAAATGTGGTGTTTAAAAAAATCAATATGGTTAGGGAAGTGTACTAATTAGACAGCATCCGAGCAATTACGAAGTATTATGCCAACATATATTTTTATTACCCTAAGTCTAGTATTAATCTAAGACAGAGACCTCCCAACTTCCTATTAAATATGTCCTTCCCAAATTACCAGCTAAAATCAATCAATACCTTTTCCTTGAATTCTGTGGTTAATGAAATAAATAAAAGGTAGGAGGGGTCAATTTGGAGTAAGACATAATAGCAGGTGCTCTACTTAAATGAAAACCATTTTTAGTATAGTTGTAAACTTTATGTACAAGGAGCAGGTGAGATAACCTGTCCCCTACACCCTCCCTGTCAACACTAAAGTAGGATAACTGAAGCAGGTGACACAAAATAAATGTTAATAGCATACAACCCAAAGTACTCTTCATACAATCTTGCACAGCTATGAGTATCCAGAAAAAACTAAGTAAAGAGATACTTAGCAATGATGATTATGTTCCTATTAAACAAAGACTTGACTGTCACAGTGACTGAGTGCCCATAGTTTCCATTAACCAAGGATCTAAAATCAATGTGCACAAATGGGGGTGGAAGTGGGGAAGGGAAGGTGCTATTTCTGGCCACATGTATTGTACACAAGGACAGTCATTTTCAAGATCAACACCAAATAATGTAAATCCTGTGGTGAGATTTAAAGTTTCCTATGATCATGCTGATTCTAGGACACATACATAGAGAAATGAATTCTACATCAAGAACAAGATAGGCTGAAGCTTCAGAATTTTGTACTGGTAAGAAAACAATGTTTTTATAGCATTCTTACTTAAATGCCAAAATTTATCAAGTTATTAAAAAACTTTAAGTCTAGGAGCCTCCCTGGTGGCGCAAGGGATTAAGACACAACCTATGAAGCTATCTGCAGCCACTGCGGCACGAGTTCGATCTCCGGCCAGGGAGCTACCCACATGGCACAGCGGATCTCACCTGACTTGCATGCTGCTCCCCTTAGCAGTATATTTCGGTCAGTCTGCCTGTTCTGCTCCCCACTTTGTCTCTGGTGAATCCTCACCCCGCCACCCCCCCCCCACGCTTCTGGCCTGTATCCCAGTTCTTACATGCATAAATAAATAAATCTTTTTGTAAAAAATTAAAAAAAAAAACTTTAAGTCTACTTCAATGTATCTATGCCATATTTTGAACTACTTGTCACAAATTCAAAGGCAAATTATATTGTTTAATGGTTTGACAAGAAGTAAACAGCAAGATGAAAAATCCAAGGAAAAAACTCACAAACTTACATAGAAGGAAATATAGGCGAAACACTACGGGATTTGCACATCAAAGACATCTTTACAGACACATCACCCAAAGCAGTGATAGTGAAGACAAAGATAAACAGCTGGGACTACATCAAATTAAAGAGCTTCTGCACAGCAAAAGAGACAATAACAAAAACAAAGAGAAACCCCACCAACTGGGAGAACATTTTTGCACACAACACTAATGATAAAGGACTGATCACAAAAATCTGCAAAGAGCTGATGAGACTCAGCAACAACAAAGAAAATAATCCAGTCAAAAAATGGGCAGAAGAGCTAAAAAGAAACTTCTCTGAAGAGGAAATGCAAATGGCCAACAGGCATATGAAAAAATGTTCAACATCACTTGTAATCAGGGAAATGCAAATCAAAACTACCATGAGATACCATCTCACACCAGTGAGAATGGCACATATTAAAAAAACTAGCAACAACAAATGTTGGCGAGGGTGTGGAGAAAAAGGAACTCTTCTGCACTGTTGGTGGGAGTGCAAACTGGTCCAACCACTATGGAGAGCTGTGTGGAGATTTCTGGACCTACTAAACATAGAGCTTCCATATGATCCAGCAATTCCACTCCTAGGTATTTACCCAAAGGACACAGAAACATCAATTCCAAAGAGCACCTGCACCCCTATGTTTATAGCAGCACTGTTTACAATAGCTAAGCTTTGGAAACAACCCAAATGCCCAAAAATAGATGACTGGATCAAGAAGATGTGGTACATATATACCATGGAATATTACTCAGCATTCAAAAAAGATAAACACATGCAATTTGCAGCAACATGGATGGCGCTGGAAGGGATCATGCTCAGCGAAATAAGCCAAAAAGAAAAGGAAAAATACCGGATGGTCTCACTCATAGCAGGAATCTAGAAAACTTAAATAAGGGACCAGGAAAATGAATATAAGAAAGTGAAAATCAAAATCAACAAAAAACTATGAACCAGAGACACTTTTTGGGGGGTGGGGGGCGGGAGGGGAAGGATTGGGGTCAGAATGGGGCGTTTGCAATTGTATGGGGGAATATAAAAATAAAATTTAATATTAAAAAAAAAAAAGATAAATAGGCAAAGGATTATAACATAAAATTTATTGAAATAGTAATACATATGGTCCCAAATTATATAAAAAATTTAACTCATTTAAAATTAGATAAATACAAATAAAAACAATGAAGCATTGTTTTTCTTCTATCATATTACAAATACTTTTCAGTTTGGTAATGGTAAAAGTCTATTGGTATAGGAGAAAAAGGCACTTTTATACACCGTATATGGGAATGTAAATCAGGTTTAAATTTGGGGACAATGTTTTTTACCTAATTTAAATTTAACAAATGCACAACTCTTTGACCTACTAATTCTACTTTCAGGAATCAAGATTATATGTAACACAGTTACACTGTGAGTAAGAAAGGAAATAGACTATCCATTTATCGTATAATGGTTAAGTAAATGTTTGCATAGTCATAAAATATATAACAAAATCACACACAAAAATGTATGGTGTGTGCATTAATATGGAAGCAAAAGTAAAATATACCTATTTTAAGTATACATTAAATATTTTAAAATATTAAGTATATTGATTATATTACAATTATGTTAAACAAATTCTATTTTAAAACAAACAAAAACTAAAATTATTATAATTATATGAAACATATGCTAAACTTTAAAAGAACATTGTTTCAAATTTTCAGGTATAGCACATTCCACTTTTATGGTTTATATAATATGCAAAGGTAACTAGAATTTGGAAGTAGATTTCCAATTCTCATTTTTACATTCTTCCAAATTAAAATAAAATTTAACATGTAACCATATAAAAATGTAACATGTAACCATGACTGTTATGTTGGTATTTTAAAAAGTTAAATAAAATTTTGTAAGTAAATAACAATAATTAAAAAAAAAAAAAAAAAGAAAAAACTCACAAACTTAATCCTGATCAGATCTGCAGGTAAATTCTGATGCAATTTATTTTAAGAAGTGCAAGAATCTGCATACAATCTTACTTTGGAGAACAGCAGCAAAAAGTTTATATAAAATACATACACAACTGAACATTTGTAAGATTTTAAATATTTCTCCCAATTTCTACCAGCAACATAAGGACAATTCCACTTAACTATTCCACAGCTAAAATAACTCCAACCTAAGCTTATTATATCCTGACCCCAAACAGAAAGTGTTTCTTTTTTTTTTTTTTTTTTTAAAGATTTATTTTATTTATTTATACAAGCACTGGGTACAGTCAGAAGCGTGGGAGGGTGAGAGAATTCACCAGAGCCAGAGCGGGGAGCAGAGCAGGCAGAAGGACCGAAGTACACTGCTGAGGGGAGCAGCGGGCGGCAGGAGAGGTCTGCGCGCCATGTGGGACCCTCCTCCGGTGGCCGGGGAGCAGCCGGGGATCGAACCGGCGCTGCAGAGGCAGCGGGCAGCTTCGCAACCCAGCGCTCAACCGCTGCGCCACCGGGGAGGCCCAGAAAGTGTTTCTATCAAATAAACTCAGGCTAGAAATCTGGATGTCCTCTTAGACTTACTGCTCCTCTCAACTCCTAAACCTGATCACCCATCAGATCATGGTGGCGCTGCCTGAATCTGGTTTTCTTCATCCCTACTGCCACTACTCTACTTACTACTCTACTTCACAATATCAGATTCACTTACTGTATGATTTTTTTGAAAGCACGGCCAAATGTGTCAGCTTTCACCTCCATGCTTTGTATTCCCATGGGAGGAAGATACACATTCCCCTTTTCGGATGTATTAGCCTGGAGGCAATTTTTCCATCAGAGATTAAATTAGCATGGTCAGTGGAAAACCAGCAAAGACAATAAGAGAGAAAACTCTGAGCTTTGAGAGGTGCCATTTTATTATGAGTTTCCCTCCAGAATATGGATTCTATAAACCAGAAAAACCCCAATGATGACAATATTTTAACAAATTGCTCATTTAGGGAAAAAATGCACAACAGTAATAAATATTATTTGGTACTGATCTAGAAGATGTCTGTGCTCACATACAATCTAGGTGGCCTGAGAGAAAAAAGATTCAGGTAGCCCAAAAATGACCTGATCGACGACTGGGTTCAGGAGGGGAGAAAAACACTGAGTCTAAGAGTACATCTGGATTTTCATAACCTTGTATGACAAAGATTCAAGAAGGTAAGTAGAATATATGATCGGATGATGAAAAATAAATACTTACTGGAATGCCTGATTCAGAATTTGATAATGAAAATGTTCTGGTGCCAATCCTATGACCACTGCATTAGGATCATTTGTTTGTAGACCTGGGAATGGTAACCATACAATTGTTGAAAATGCAATTAAAAATAATGTCACATTTCATAATGTAGTTTTAGTCAAGCAAATGCAAATGTTTGCTATAACCATAATCTGAGGTATAAGAGATTACCCTGCCAGTGGAAATAGTGTAAGATACTGAAGAAAAAGATCTCCTAGTATTTTAACACATTTCTTTTGCATGGTCTTACAGCTACTCAGTAACTAGAAGATTTGAATTGAAACTTGTAACCTGATGTTCTCAAACAAGGAGCAATTTCTAACTTCAAAAAGCTTTACTAATTACAATCAACAAGAACAGCCATGAGTTATCAGATCAATAGCAACTGATGAGGGGATAGAAACCTAAGAGACAAGGGAAATTAAGACTCTTTAATTGACACAGTTGAGGTTAACACCTTCATGATAAATATGGAATGCACTGGAGATCCTACAGTTTTCTGCATAATGCCTAATTTATTTTTAATTTCACAAATATTACAATTTAAGCAGGTTTTAAAGATATTTGTACATGACAACAGCTATGACAACCAAACAAGTAATCCACTATCACAGTTACTAAGTCTGATTAAAAGTTCTGTGGATTATCTATACATCAATTTCTATTTGCCTCTTAGCATTTTCATTACCAATTCCACCAAAACTTGAGGAGAATAGGAAAAACAGATCAAGACTTCCAATTTTCTCCTCACCAGCAGCCATGATTATTGAGTAATAAAATTTATTAAAGAAAGAAAATTAAATGGTTGACTATAATAAAAGTTGGAATTTTTCAAGTTCTGTTTATTATCTCCATTAACCACTAGCAAATATATTAAACATCAGCAAAGATATCGCCATTCCTTTCAAACATCTATCAATTTTGGGTATTTTCATGAAAACTGACAAATATTTTCTTTATATCAGAGTCTCTGCTTATATACCCCAATCCAGATCACTGTTGATACAACAATCTTAATCTTCATCAAATAAAATCAAAAGGAAAAAATCTGATTAAAAAAATCATTTTGTAGAATTCCAGCTAACCCAGAAACATAAGCACAGTGGTTAGAGAATGCATTTCTAATTATTTCTGGTTGCCCGGTTTTTGGTTAATACCGTTGTGGTTACCAGAGTGCACAATGGGGGAAAGGTCAAGGGAGGGACAGCCATAGGGCACTGGCATTGGAGCTTTGGTGGGGGTGAGTGAAGCATGTGCATTTATGGGGTGTGAAGCTGCACACCCCAAATTATATTGGTACATAAACAACTGGCAGGTCAAAAAAACTTGAGAAAAAAATAAAACTATTGATGCTGCCGCCTATTTCATTAGGATTTGCCAAATGGTTATTTTCTAATTTTTCATTCCTCTTGCATTTACTAGACTGGAATTCTTTTAAATATTTTACCTTTATATATTTGGTTACTCTTAACAGTCAGTTCGAACAGGAAAGGGTGGATAAAAGCTTGCTTTACTCCCTTAATTTATCCATTTTTTGGAATAATGAGTTACTGCCCTAACAAAGTACCATGGTGACCAGAGTTTTGTGGGGATGAGGACCATTTTGAACTTTTAACATTTTTATACATACACACACACACACACACTGCAATCATTATCCTTTTTGATGCTCAAATTATCTCTTCAAATTGGCCCCAGTGTCCTTTACAAATCACATCATTAGTCTTCAATAGTTTCCTTGCTAACACAACTAGTTACCCCAGATTCATATTACATAATGCCTGCCCAGATCTGGAATCAGCCATTTCTCCAAAGAAGGAAAGGAGCAAAGGATAGTCTGAGCACTGGGTTGTCATTACTTATAGGCCTTTTCAAGGGGAAAATCTAAATAACGATTATGCTTTTTAAGAGAACAAGACAGTTAATAAAGAGATTTTCAATACAAAATTAATATACATGGCTTTGAATTGATTTTTATACTTGTATTTCTTTTTGTTAACATTTTAAATTTTGAATCCTAACAATCCTAGCATATACTACTTTGTTTTATCCTATCATATATCTATAATTCAAAAATAACAATACCAATATTACTAATAACACAAAGATGAGAAAGCAGTTAAAGATTTTTTTGGCATTCTTTTGTACTTAGACTCTGTCCCACCATGAATGAACAAACAAAATACAATTTCAGTCATTTGAAATAATTCTTTTCTCTGAGTGGTTATGTCACCAATTTTATGTAGTTAATTTTTTCACTTTGTTTTCAGAGATTGTTCATTTATGTTTCCAAAGTCAAAACTATATAACAAAGCACTTTTAGAGAAACCCCCTTTCTGGACCCTTTCCTCTACTCTTCCACCTTTTAGATAACCATATTTATTAGTTTTTCTTTTATCCTTCTTTAGTTTCCTTTTAAAAAATATAGGAAATAAATATGTATTTCTACTTCCTGCTCATTTTCTTACACACAAAATGGGTAAGATTTTCTGTACCTTACTTTTTCCTCTTAATATAGCCTATGAAGATCACATCTTATCAGGAGATAGAATTCTTTATCATTGCTTATTTTCCATCTACAAAGCATTCCTTTTGTGGCCATAACATAGTTTAATTAGTTATTCCCTTCAATGTACATTCAGGCTGCTTCCAGTCTTTTATTATAAATAAGGTCATAACAAATAACTGTTCATATGTCACTGTATTTTTTTCTAACTATAACATGGAGATGGGATTCCTGCCAGTGGTAATACTGCTTCATATGCAATTTTGCAAGCAATTGCCAAATTCCCCTCTAGAGAACTTGTCCATTTTATATTCCTATCAGCAGTCATATCCTTTTTTTTTTTTAAAGATTTATTTATTTATACATACAAGCACTGGGTACAGTCAGACGCACGGGAGGGTAAGAGAATTCACCAGAGCCAGAGTGGAGAGCAGAACAGGCAGAGTGACAAAGTACACTGCTGAGGGGAGCAGTGGGAGGCAGGAGAGGTCCGTGCACCATGTGGGACCCTCGCCTGGCGGCTGGGGATCGAACCAGCGCTGCAGAAGCTGCGAGCAGCTTTGCAACCCAGCGCTCAACCGCTACGCCACTGGGGAGGCCCCAGCAGTCATATCCTTTTAATAAATTTATTTTGTTTAATTCAGTCAAAATTGGTTTATTCCTTACAAATAGTAATTCTTATTAGTATAGTTCCTTACAGTCTGAATTTTGAGATTCTGCTCATCGAGACAGAGATATAACCATGTAGAATTTCTCTATCATTTGTGTAAGGCCATCCATCACATGGTTTATTTATGCCCATTTTTCTACATTGTGTTGTTCCATTCTGAGTATCATCTACAAAAAGAAGCAACATGGCAAAGCTTCATAAAACTAGGAGAATTTTTCAGAGTCTGTTAATTTTTCCAAAGAGAAAAAAGCTTTATTTTCTCTCGATTGAAAAGAATTCAAGGTCATTGCAAAAACTTCACAAGATACAGAATGGAATCTCTTTTTTAAAAAGGAGATCTTTTATCATTTCATCAAATTAATATCCTGGCTCTCAGATTAATTATAATTCTCAAAACTCAGTAGTCCCCAATTATCTCTAGGGGCTATGTTTCAGACCCCCAGTAGATGCCTGAAATGGTGGATCGTACCAAACCCTATATATAAATACCTATGATAAAGTAATAAAGTATGTTAAACATAGTAAGAAATCAACAATAATTAATAATAAAGTAGAGCTCCAGCAATGTGATATAGTGAGTTTTGTGAATATGGTCTCTCCTACAATATCTTATTGTACATAGTATTTTTAGACTGTGGTTGCCTGTGGATAAGTGAAATCTCAGAAAGCAAAGCCATACATGGAGGTAAGGGAGAACTACTGTAATTTGGACCTATAGTTTTCAATCTGCGGGTCATAATTCATAGTAGACTGTGAAACTTAATTTGAAGGGTTCTAAACAGCATTAAAATCAAGCAATTAAGTGAATCAAATATAAATGGCAATACCTCTCATACAGTAAAAATATTGCTTAACTTATATAATCACACACATACATGCATGTACGGGGTTACCATGTAATATATTTCAGTTATTGTGGGGTGCAGTCAAAAATAAATCTGAGGGCCTCCCCGGTGGCGCAGCAGTTGAGCGCTGGGTTGCGAAGCTGCACGCAGCCTCTGCAGTGCCGGTTTGATCCCCTGCTGCTCCCTGGCCACTGGAGGAGGGTCCCACATGGTGCGCAGACCTCTCCTGCCACCCACTGCTCCCCTCAGCAGTGTACTTCGGTCCTTCTGCCTGCTCTGCTCCCTGCTCTGGCTCTGGTGAATTCTCTCGCCCTTCTGCGCTTCTGACTGTATAAATAAAGGTGCTTATATAAATAAATAAATAAATATTTTTTTTAAAAAAAGTTTTTTAAAAAAAATAAATAAATCTGAGAAACACCAATTTAGATTCAAACTATCTGTTGACTATTTCATTACTAAGAGGAGAAAATATGAGTACATACTTCTAAATATTCAGTTTTAATAATGATAAGCAGAACAAATTTTGAAGTCTTTTCAAATGTCCTCTACCTTTGAAATCAGGCAGTGCTCGATCATCAACTAGCAGCATGGGCCGAACTTGCTTCTGTTCTACTAAGTTTCTGGCTGCAGTTAGGGAAGTGAATATTTCATCTTCAGAGATATCAAACTCCAATTTTTTCAACCTTTCCAAAAGGTCCTGCTTGCTCTCTTTGGTTGTATTGGTAACAAACCTAACCATTAGAGAAGCACCACGTAACCTGAAAAAGTAAAATTCAGGTGTCAACAGGTAGCTTTTACAATCCAGCCCCATAACACCTCCTAATCTGGTAGCACCTACAAAAGGTTAGAAAATGAAGGCTCAGTCACTGAGTAAATGTTTTTACTGCCAGTAAGTTTTTTGTTATTTACCCAGAATTGCCTACAAACTATCCCAATACTGTGAGTCACTTGATCTCCATAGGCTGAAAAGTCAAATTGTAAAAGCTATGTCTACCTTTTTGAGGGCCCATTATACTTTAGCTGTATTTTACTGCAGGGTTTTAGTAAGAAGTTGAAAAAAAACAAAAGTTAGTCATCACTATATGCACAGAATATGCAGAGGTGAGTTATCTTAGAGATTAGCTACTAATACAACTGTCTGTTTTAAAGATGAGAAAACAGAGGCTAAGAGTAGTTAAGTGGCTCCTTAGCTTTATACAGTTGGGTAGAAGCAGAGCTGAGGCAAGAGCTCCCATCGATGTTCTGGTATAGGGTCTGGGCTCCTATGTTAAGAATGAGAGGATAACCTGAGAACCTGTTTTTCCTTTTTCTCAGTCAACTTGAGAGTGACTGAGCCCTTATGTGTTACTATGTTTGTAAACAGAAACTATCTGGGCAGCTCAAAGAAACATTCTATTTTTTCAAATAGAAATGTGTTTCCCCTGAACTACTTATCTATGGTACCATTTTGATTCCATGATTGCTTCTGAAATCTAAACTAGCAATCAGATCTTATGGAAAGAATTATGACAGCACACCTTTCTTCAAAAATGAAAAATTATTTTCTTGGTCCTATAGTTAGTTTTAATCTAAAATCTAAAAAACAGGGCCTCCCTGGTGGCACAAGGAGATATGCACCACACTATGAAGCAATCCACAGCCTCTGCAACACCAGTTCGATCTCCAGCTGGCCAGGGAGAAACCCACATGGCGCAGCAGACCTCTCCTGTCTCGCCCGCTGCTCCCCTCAGCAATGTACTTCAGTCAATCTGACTGTTCTGTTCCCCACTCTGTGGTGAATCCTCTCACCCCCCCCCCACACCTCTGGCCTTGTACCCCAGCTCTTGTATGCATAAATAAATAAATCTTTAAAAAAAAAATCTAAAAAAGTTTTAATTTAACTACAATTTAAAATTTCCTAATACCCTGTGGCTTTTTATTTTATGCCTACTCCAAATGGACACAAGGCGTAAAATCACTAACCACTATTTAAAATAAACAAGCAAATAAAGCAGAAAAGAGATTTTGTAAGTATTCAACCAAAGAACATTAAGTAAATTTGTATGATTAAATAGTGCACTATAGTCATGATTAATCTATCATATCCTTATGGTAACTTTTCTAAAGAACACATTAAATTTGATGGTTTATTTCTCAAAAGAAAGTGATTACTTTGCTATAATTATTATCCTAAATATCAGTAAATACCACCACTGAAATTACCACATTTAGTGTCTATTTAAGAAAACCAAAACTTTTCTTTTTATTAGCCCCTAAACTTCCCTTAGTCTATTTCTCTAGAAATCAAATCCAGCAGGACAGCACCGTGATTTCTCTCAGGTAGAAATCTACCAGGGCCAGTAAGGAAACAATCTGCAGGCTCCTGCCCCTTTAAAATAACAGGCTCACAGACGCCAGAGCTACTGAGAGATGTCATTTGTTCTCCACCAGAAATAAAAGATTTTCCTTTTGATCCAAAAGTGAGAGCTCATCTTTAAAGCAGCAAAAACTCCTGTCCAACAGGAATGCAAATCAAAAGACATCCTTTCCCCTAGAAGCCTAAGAGAAAGACTGTGTCAGGAGTCTGATTTTTGGGGGGGGTCTGGGGGGTGTTTAAGTAACATATTGTCCACCTACGAAACAAACATCATAACTCCTAATTAAACTGATAACTTCCAACTGATACTTGCCAGATATACAAGTCTCTTTATTTGATGATTCCCCAAACGGAAAGGAGGCTTCTTGAGAGAGTACAAAGTCTATGTCAATCTTTGGCCCTAACACCTGGTATGTGATTGTCATTAGTTTCTGAATAGCAGCACAGGAATATTTTAAGGTTGGAAAATGACAAGCATTACATGTTAAGTACTCTTGATTTCGAAAACTTCCTTATTTTAGGAAGAAGATGTCTAATACCAATTACTAGTTCTGTTGTAGTGCTGTCTAATATTTTTTTTTTCCAGTACAATCAGAAGAAACACTCATATTCAGTTCATTTTAAAAGATTTTACTATGTATTCTTGGTTTTTATCTATACTTGTGTTTGGTACCGTGGTTGATATATCAGAAATATAAGTCTCTAACCTTTGAAAGGACTAAATTTAGTTGACAGAAATAATTCTAAAATTTCAAGTCCCTTAATTAAATTTTATTTGAGCAGCTGCACACTCAATGCTAGATCTTAAATGAAGGGGAGGCTGGGCAGAACTGTGCCTTTGTGTATGTGTGTGCTTCATTTCCTGATTCCAATATTCATTTGTAATTTTTTCCAGTACTATTTATTCTACATTTTAGAATCTTGAATTTTCATTCCCAAGTTTACAATACTAACTTAGACACCACCCCCCACCCAAAATGACTAGATCAAAAGGCCAAACCTAATAAAGGCTTGGAGAACAACGTTTGGAGGATATTACAACACATACATCTTCCAGCTAAACCCAAGGCAGTTCCTGTATATATGGTAAGCTGGTGAAATGCCATCTTAAGGCCATCCATTTAGCTAATGATCTGCCTTGGTAAAATGGCACTTATAAACATATTTGTCAGCTGAACCTGCAGGATAGCTTGCCTTTTAAGAGCTTCCTGTGCGCCTGGCACAGCTGCATCTTCAATGTGAAGTGTGCCATTGAGATCTACCAAAACAGCTTTTAATGCACGGCGTGCTGCCATCCTTCATTCCCTAGGAGAGAGCAAATGAAATTAAAAATACAGTTTAGGAAACAATGGACAATTAAAAACTGGTAAGTCTTTGAAAATATTATTCATAGCCAGAAAGATACTGTTTACTGTTAAGCTGCTTTGATCAAAAAAGTTTTAAAAATTAAAAAAATCCAAATTTGATTCATAAAACTTTTATAACGCTTAGTCAATTTTTAAAATTAAAATTACAAGAGGAAAAAGAGAAGTTACCAAAAAGTTACTATTTATTTTCAGATTTCTTAACAATTTGGTGAACAATTCATTCCTCTTATTTTTAAATATGAGAATAATGTACTTTGAAGGACAGGTGAATAGAAGCATTGGCAAATCTTTTACATCACTGGTTCCCCAAAATGTATGAGCTGGGGTCACAGATCAGAAAAAGTAAGAGCAAGAAGCAATCAGATGAAATCCATGGAGAAACAAGAAAAGTAAGAACAGCTCACATTTATTGGATGCTGTATGTATTTACCACCACAATAAGAGCTTGTGTCAGTTTACAAAGATTTTGTCATAAATGGTTTTACACTACTACTTTTCTCCACATTTACTCTTTTCCTTTTCCATATATATTCTTTGGAAGTGAGTCATGGGGGCAGAAGGGGTAAGGAGGAACCAAGCTTTACTCCCTAGAGAGAAGCACTGACATAGAATTTGAATTTTTCTGTAACTTTTCTATAAGTCATTTGTTTATACAATCAGTATGAACCCACAGATATTTATTCTATTCTTTGGGATACACACCAATACTGTGCTATTTTGTACCTCAAACTGTTCTATCTTAGGCTACTGAGAGAACTTTCAAGTTGGTTTCCATGCCTCCGTCCTTCTGGTTTTTGTTTCCTTGTTTTCTCTTTTGAGCAGCTGCAAAGATGCTCCTGGCTCATCTGTGTGTTCCCTGCCCCAGCCCTAGAATCAGCCATTTCCATGAGGAGTCTTGGTTCCTTTAATAAGAGAACAGCACTTAGAAATCAAGATCTGGATACTGGAAGTATTCTCTGCTACTGGTATGTCATTGTTTCTAGGTCCTCTCAGCAGAAAAAACTAGGCACTACAAGGATGCATCCTAATGCGTGTATACACACATACCTATCATTACTTCTGCACCTATCCATCTGTGCGTGTGATTATATACAACAATAACTATACATAGTGATGCCTCCAATTCAAATATAATAACTACAGCATCCATTTAGCCTTCTTTGTTTATTTTTAATTTCTCTCTAAGATAAGTCAGAAACCTGGCTCATGCCATCTATTTATTTGTTCATGTCTGGTATTTAATAAGGTACTTTCTGGACTGTTTTTGTTTTCATGAGAAACGTATTACTCACTAAGGTACAGTGTTCACGTGCAGTTCATTTTGTCTATCTTCTTAGAGGAAATCTATCCTTAGATGTCTTCAATCAAAGCGTCATTTTCCAAAGCTACTTAGGTTAGTGCCTCCCCATTCTCTATAGCCCTCATATGGTTGAGTGGTTAAGTAATACATTCCCAGTACAGTTAGATTCATTTGTCACACAGTTTGCTTTCCATCCTGGGATCTTCCAAACCCGGGTTCATCTTTTTGTTTGTTTGAACACACTGAGGCCCATTCTTTGTGATATAATTCTACAAGTTTTGACAAATGCAGAGTTAAGAATCCATTACCCCAGTACTATACAGACTAGTACCATCATAGGTCTGAATAAAAGCAAGAAACTGGGAGATGAGCAGAAGATTGCAGCCTGCTTGGCCTCAACAACATCTGCTATGCTAGGTGACCTTAAGTTGGCCCCTTCAGGTAACAAAAGACAAAACTCAGGGTTCCCCTGAAGAGACAGATCCTCCCAACTTAAAACCTGAGACTTTGGTTTGTTTTTATTTCACACACCACTTCTACTTAATACTGCAAATGATACCCCAGCTAGTATAGTAAAGCAAGAAAAACAAAGTATAAAGACTGGAAAGGAAAAACAAAACTATCATTATTTATAGATGACACCATTGTATCAAAAAGTCAAGAATTTAAAATAGTTAACAAGGTAGGAGTAGCAATTACTACATGATTATTTAGTAATTAATATAAAAATCAGTCATTTCCATGTCATCAGCAAATAATTAGAAAACTATTTTGAAAAGATATTATCTGCAATGGATGATAAAATATAAAGAAATAATTAGAAAACTATTTTAAAAAGATATTATCTGCAATGGATGATAAAATATAAAGTAACCAGGAAATTTCTTACAAAAGTGTCAACACTTTGAAGGCAAAATTATAAAACCTGACAGATAAAAATAAGACTTAAATATATAGACACGATTTTCATAGATTAAAAGACTCAATATTGTAAGGCTGTCAGCTTTCATGGCATCTTTGATTTAGAGATTCAATGCAATTCCAATCAATAGTCAAAAAAATATTTTGTGGAACTTGATAAGTTAATCATAAGTTATGCATCCGTGAAAATGGCCAGGGATAAGCAAGATACTTTAGCTGAGATTGAAGAAGAAAACCAAATAGTGGCCTTGTTTACCTAATATATAGACTTGATTAATAAGGTCTTGTAATTTGAAGATAGTGTGATACTAGCACATAAAGAGACAAATTGATCAACGGAACAGAAGAGAGAACCCCAAAAAAGAACCTCTTATATGTACAGAAACTTGATATGTTGCAAGAACAGTATTTCAGATTAGTGAAGAAAAAATGAAATGTTGAACATTTCAATAAATGTGCATAAAACTGAATATCCATAGTAGAGAACATAAAACTGAACTTCTATATCACTCTATATAGAATTTTTTTTCAGGTAAGCAAGACAAGACTACATACAGTATGGCTTCATATTACAGGTTCAGAAACAGGGATGCACACACAGATTTTGGTAAAACTGCACAGAGAAGCAAGGCAATGACTATCACAAGAGTCAGGGCAGTGACTCCTGCAGGGCACAGAGAGAAAACGCAAACCAGGAGAGCACAAGGGGATCTCTAAGGTCTTCTGAAAGTAGATGGTGAGTATGTGTGTGTTTATTTTATAATCATTAAAAACTTACATATATGGTCTTCATACTCTTTAAGACATTTTTCACAAAAATTAGACTTGTTATATTATAGTCATTTCTCATTTAATATAGTTATTAAAAAACTAAATATAGTCCAGAAAATCATTACGCACTCAGTACTAACAACCTCCATCCTTAAACTGTTTGAACATTTTAAATAATTCCCTGGTGCTGTTTGTCTTTTATACTGTATCTGGTGGGGAAAAAAAAACTGAAGAGGCACAAAATGATATTAAGATTTCTGGTTAAGCAGACTCAGTTGCAAAATCCTCTTTTGTAACAGTCCTCACATGTTATTTTACATTTGATCTTTATTGTGACCTTGAAAGGGAGGCTTTCCTCCATAATAGCATTACCAGTTACCTAAAAAGAGAAACAGTTAAAAGATTTGGATGTGTAAAAAAAGTTAAGGACTTTTAAATTTAAAACATACATCACAAAAGATAAGGCTACAAAAAGTGAAGACAAAGCATTCTCCTTTTTGGATGGAGGAACCTAAAATTGCTTCTCTCAAGACCTGAGTTTTGCGAAAGACATCTAACAGTCACTTAAAAAAAGCAAACTCTGAAGGTATTCTGTAGGTAGAAAGGCTGGGTTGTGTGTGCGTTTTTGTGTTTGTGTAAAATGAGGGAGGGTACACAATGGATAGACATATCAAGGACTGCAAAAAGCAGTATAACCATGATACAACATTATTATAACTTGATGACACAAGAAAAAATTTTACATAAAAAGGATATATCATCACATATTACTCAAAATTGCATAAATATTTAAGATGAAGCAAAAGATTTCAATTAAAAGTTTCTCTTGGGAGCTTGGGGCTGTTCAGAATGTTTATTAGACTCCTTGGCGTGTACAAATCTTTTTGCACCAATATACTTCTAGTGGAAAAGTCTGGAACCACCGTATGTATTCAATCAACAACGTTATTATTCAGTTATTCTTCACTTAAAACTTTTCCAAGACTTCCCAGCACCCTCAAGATGAAACCTCAACAATGAACACTAGTGTACAGGGCCGTGGTTTACCACTTCAACTCATCTGTCCTTTCCTGAAGCCAAGTTCCATGCACCGCAGTCGCCCAAAGTCCTACACTTTACTTCCCTCATCGCTGGACTTTTGTCTGAAACCATTTTTGCTCCCTGCATTGTTCCAGTCCTTTCCCCAGGCAACTCCTTCAGGCCTTGGGTCTCAGGTAAGCATCACTCTCTCATTTCTGATTCCTCTGGCATACCTGAGTCGAACTTATTTTCTGCCAGGGCTGGGCTAGGATGCCCCAGCGAGCTCCCCTATTACACTCATCACCGGTCCAAACTCTGGATCCGTGAGGAAAGCGGCTGTGCTGCCTTTTGCATGTGCCATCTAATAACGCGCAAGAAGATTTCTGAATGAACTAAGCTCTGGAAACCCGTTCTCAGGAATTGGGACGTAGCCGAGAACCTTCCAGCACTAACTCAAGAGCCAATCCTGCCACCCCCCAGGCTGGGCGGAGGGGGCTCTGCCCGAGTTCCCGGGGCTGGCAAGGCCAGGCTGACCGGAAGGGAGGCCAGCGTCGCCCAGTCCAGGCTCCGAGGGTTAACACATTAGAGCCGCGACGCGCTAGACTCCGCGAACCAGAGCCCGGGCGGAAACGCCTCGCGCACGCGCAGAAGGGCGGCCGAGGGGGCGGGCCCGCGCGGAGGGGCGGGGCAGATCAAACGGAGCCAGCGGGTGGGTGGGGGCGCCCGGGACACGCAGCCCGCGGGCCCCCTCACCCGCTCACAAAGAGATGCAGCCTTCAAGCGGGCCGGCGGCCGTCCGTCCCAGGGCGGCTCCTCACCCGCTCCGCACGCCGTCCTCAGCTAAGGCCCCGCTCACGGGAAAGTCAGCACAGCGGCGCCTTCCTCTGCGTCCTTGCTGCGGGCCCGGAGCAAGCGGGACGCAACCCCGCCTGCGCCGGAAGCTGGGCCAGGCCGCACCGGAAGTCCCGCCCCATCCCGTCTATTTCTGCCCCGCCCGCGCGGGGTTCGCAGCTGGTCTTTTACTGGGTCTAGTCCTGCTCCATCACTATCTTAGAGAAGAAAGTAGAGTTGCACTTGAGACCCGCTCTTTCCAAGGCGCAGCCTGCTGGACTAGATGCAAGAAGAAAAACGAAAAAGAAACCCTCTCCTTGGCTCCGTAGCTGTTTCCTATTCCATAGCACCATTGTTCACTTTCTTTGCCTCCACCTTCCCTCATTGCACCACTTTCTTGCCCGTTCTCGAGGGGTAAGTCATAAATCGTCTTGATACAGCCCTTGAAACGTCCAGTCTCCGAAGTCTTTCCTGGTTTGCTGCTTGAATTTTATACCTGGCACTTACTGCTGTTTTTGTTAGCCACTGCCGCAGGTAGCGACCTCACTAGTCCTGCATTAGCTATTCCAAAACCCTACGCTGTCATGTTTTCCAACCAGCCTGTCATAGAGCTAAGTCAGTGCCTATCTTCCCTAGGGGCATTATGCTGACATAGGGAGTACTAGCTCCCACACCACTCCCTCTCACACACTTGTCTTCCTTTGATCCAAGTAAACTTGAGTGCAAAGATGGTCATTCTAGGCGCTCTGTGAAAACTACTAAATGAAAAACTTTGTGGAGCAGTCTGACACAATAGGATATAAACTTTGGTTTACATATATAGACCCCCACGACAAATCTGCTGCTCCTTCCTTGACTGGGGGACTCCTCGTAACCCTAACCCAGTATCCCCTCTGCCCAGGGCTGCCGTCACCGTGTCATGTTATAACCCTGTTCTCTGGACTAGTGACCCTCTACGCTTCTTCCTGACTGGGTTTGGAGCTTACTTGGGTCTTTTATTCTTTTGTGTGAGGGCCTACTTGGTTGAGGAAAAGGAACCTGTTCCTACTCTCCCCTTCAGAATTAGAAGCTATCTTTGATCACATTAAAACATCACTGAAAAATTTTAAAGTAGGTAATGTAAGACATGCATTTTTCTAAATGCTACTCTAATTGTAATATAAAGAATGGATGGAAGTGCCAAAATGTGAGACCAGTTAAGAAACTATTGCAGGGCTACAAGATATGCTTAAACTAGAATGTGTGGAAACAAAGCAGTCAAATCCAAGAGATCTTTAGGAGGTAAAAGAAAAATTGGTTACATGAGAGAAAAGCATCAAGATAATTACTAGGTACCAAATTTGGGCAACTGGGTTGTGTAACTGATGGTATCCTTCATGGTGATATGGAGTAATAGTATGAGACTAACGACAGCCTTCTCATCAAGACTCAGGATTCTGCTTTCTAAAGTGCACGATGACTAAGGAAGGGGTGGGTCCTTAAAAGGGTGGGGCTGAATTTGGGAAAGAAAAGGTGGGGTAAAAACTTTTTAAAAGGTGGGGTAAAAAAGGTAGTAGAGAAGTAAAGGAAGCTAGAGCAGAACTGAAAAACAGTTGACCAAATATACCTTTGTATATCTTTCCCTATTTGTTCCAGGTCCTTGCACAATGTTTTACAGCATCTGACGTCTAATGACCATTCCGGTCAAGAGCAATTTTAGCAAAAAGGCTTTCATTTTGCTTAATAACAACATTTTATTATTGATAACTTTGAAGCTGTAAGTCAAACAGAAAGTGATTTTTTTGTCACCAAAAACATTTTATTTCTGAACATGTCTTTGAGTGAGGTACATCTAGAATCAAAAGCTGACCTGGAAAAGATTATATACATAAATATATATAACTATTTGGCCCAGATTGTTTTCTGAAAGTTATTGAACAGTTTTCTAGATGAGGCAACCAACTGTCTTAGGAAATTTAAGTCACATGATAAAAGATTTTGCTTGCTATATCAGGAACAGCCTGCCTCCTCTTTACTGAAATGGCTTTCTCTCAAATCATTTCATAAGTACATATATACACGTGATTACATATGCCTAGAGCACATATCACACTGCTTGTTCTATCTAAAGCAGGGATTTTACAAACAATAGTCAAGCCATGTTTAAAACACAGGGTATTGTGGAAGTGCCTTAGAAATTTTGACAAGGGGGATGAAGGCTGAACAGTGGGACCTAGCCCTACTTCTGGTAAAAATCAAAGAACGAATGGGCACGACCCATCCATTTTAGATATTGGTGCATTACAGTTCTGGTTATTCCTTTGAAAGTCTGATTTTGCTATTAACAATTGAAGTTTGAAAACTACTGTACTAGATTAAAGATTAAGGTATGATTTGGGTAATCTACACAACAGATGAGCAGCATACAGAGTAGCATCAGCATGTGTAAGGACCATAAACATCATGGATATTTGGAGTCTAAAATGATCACAAATTATTAATCCTGAGAATGGCTAAGGGGGATGATATGGGCAGGCAAGCATACACTTAAGTTAACGCGTCCTATGGTCACTGAATCACAACTGCTCTGGGGGAAACAAGGTTAACCTGCGAAACCTACATACTTCCCTTCAGGCACAGTAAAGCTAGAACTATGTAGATGGTCTTCAGAGAGGAAATATTTTGATGTCCAATACTTCACTTTTCTTAAAACCACTTTCCTACAGAATACGCTGAACCTGCCCTGCTCTGACTTCTTTCCAGGGGTGGGTGAAGGGTACGCTGACACTAAATACCATGTGTTCTCATTTTCTTACAAGAAAATGGCATCTAACTAAGGCCTTTCTTTGCTTTCTGTTTCAAATTGTGGAGAAGTGCCCTCAACTAATTGCTTCTTTTGAATTTGTTCAGTAACTTAAACCTGGACTCATGTCCAGTTCTTTGTAAGGCCAAAAAGAATATTTGACCTCTAAGTGCCAAATATGTTACTCACATTAGCCAAGTAATCAACTAAGAAGAATCCCTGGTATATTTCTTTGGTTAAGCTGCAATCCAGTGGCCCAGAAATGATCCATTTCTAATTCAGACAAGGCTCCAAAGTTTTAGGAGTAACTTAAATCATAGAACAAAAGTTGTTCACGAGTCTTCTTGATATATGTCAGCAATTGTTAATTCCTTGAAAAAATGAAGTGAATGCTTACTTTCATTAAATCTGTGTTCAGTGATTCAACCACAAAAAACACAAGAAATTTACATACAAATGAGATTAATTCAGTTAACACTGACAGGTATATTCTCAGGTACAAAAACAAATGCTTGACTTACATTTATTTTATTTACAAATGTTCTATAAACAAAGATGTCATTTCACCCCCCCTTAAAATATTAAAACTGTCAATTTCCAGAAAAAACATTTACATATAATCTTTCTGCATAAAAGAATATTATGAAAAAAGCATATATAGGATGATCTGAGACCAAAAAAACAACAAAACTTGTTCAGCATGAATGCTTTAGTGATAGACTGAAGAATTAAAAAAAAAAAAATTCACACCCTTACTTAATGTCTTTATGTCTCCAAGAAATGGATATGTGGTGATTTGGAGAGATACTTGCTTTACAATAAAATTTTTCTAAGTCATATAATAGTTTCATTGTGATTATTTATGAATCTTGAAGGATAATATTTATGCTGATTTTAAAAAGTCATCACTATAAAAAGGGCATAGACTTTTTTAGATAGATTTTTCTACCAATGAAAATACGCAGATACTGGTTTGGTCCTATCAGGCCAATTAATAAAATAGCAAGTGCATGAAAAGAACTTTAAACAAAATCACAATCACTATCATCATGTGACTATCTAACAGCTATAAAATTCTCTCTAAAATCAGAGTATAGTTATGAAATCAGAGTATAGTTATTTACTATCTTTACTAGAAATTTGAATTTTTCATAGCTAAGACAACATATCAACAAAACATTTAACCAAGGAATTCAAAATAAAATTATCCAAATTATGTATTTATCATTTTATGTGTTGTAAATACTTTTTAAAAATCCTTTAAATTTTATCTAGAAGGATAATCACTCTTTCCATTATAGTCACAAGAAACTTCAAAACTTTGAAAAAAAATTTATCCCTGAGAACTGAGAGAAAATCTCTAAAAAACAGAGAAGTGACAGTCCTATGCCCTTTAATAATGTTCCCCATAGCATGAACTTTTATTAATAGTCAGCAATCAAATGTATTCCAATCCTGGATAGCTACTACCTCTGATGATCTGATCTTTCTGTAATGATATTTTAATTGCAACATTTAAAAAATCAGATAAATAGGGACTCTTGTTTTATTGTCAGTTTTACATTTTTTTCAAGTGCAAGGATGACCAGTTAAGATGTATATATTCCAATGATGATGGAAGTAATCACTTCTGGTGGCATCTCTTCCTCTGAGTCTCCATTTCCCCTACTGATCTTCACCCAAACAATAAAAGTAATACAATTACAACTGAGTTTACTATTATCAATGGCACTGCAAAGGAAAAAAAAAAACAAGAGTTGGTTACTAAAAGAAATATCAGAAAGAAGTTACTAGCATCTAGGAAGGACGGAGGGAAATATCTAAAAACCTGCCATTGGGACCTCTCTGGTGGCACAAGGGGTTAAGCACCGCACGATGAAGCAATCCACAGCCTCTGCAGCATGAGTTTGATCCCCGGCCATACAGCAACCCACATGATGAAGCAGAGCTCTCCTGTCTTGCCCGCTGGTCCCTCAGCACTGTATTTCAGTTGGTCTGCCTGTTCTGTTCCCTGCTCTGTCTCTGGTGAATCCTCTCACACCGCCCTCCCTCTGCCCCTGGCATCTCTGGCCTGTACCCCAGCTCTTGTTACATGAATAAATAAATCTTAAAAAAAATAAAATAAAAACCTGCCATCATAATCATTTGCAAGTAGCTAAAACAGCGAACATTCACGGCCTCCCTGGTGATGCAAGGGGTTAAGCACCGCACTATGAAGCAATCCGCAGCCTCTGCAGCACGAGTTCAATCCCCGGGCCGCCAGAGAGAAACCCACATGGCGAAGCAGAACTCTCCTGTCTCATCCGCTGCTCCCCTCAGCAGTGTATTTCCGTCGGTCTGCCTGTTCTGTTCCCCACTCTGTCTCTGGTGGATCCTCTCACCCCCTCGCATCTCTGGCCTGTACCCCACCTCATCTCTTGTATACATAAACAAATAAATCTTTAAAAAATAAAACAAAACAGCGAACATTCAAATATGTGCTGGATCAGAAAATTCAAAATTTATTTTAAAGAGGGATTGTGTGACTGGGGATCAAGGTCACAATGGAACATCTACTTCAGTGTGAAACATCAGTGGCTAGTGCTGGTGCAGCTTTGAGAACACAAACACACTGGCAGAAGTAGACCCTCATGACTGCTAGTACCACCTGGCATTAGAAAATACAGTGCAGAGAAGATTCAAAAGTGCCAAAGTAGTTTTATCACTAAATTAAGAACGAAGCTATGTATCATTTCACCCAAAGCCATGATTAAAGCAGCTAATAAAAGAGGGAGACACACAGCCTGTGCACATGGCCTGATTGTAATGGTTTTAAATAAAAAGTGTGAAGTTGTCTAAAATAAAATATTTTTCAATAGAATGGTAGATATGGAACTTTTATTTTTCTCTTGAAAGGCTTCCAAGACTATAAAGTACTTTACAACTTAAAAAGCACATTTTAGAGGTAAGAAGTTCATTGTCTTTCAGCTCTGAGGTTAACATACAGATTATACCACTGAGCTGCATGATTTCATGCAGTTTGATGCATGCATGATTTCATGCAATTGTTTCATGCTCTTTTGCCACATCAGCACTGACTGTAACATGTGGTTTAAAAATAATTTAACAAGGCCACCTTGGTGGTGCAGGAGTTAAATGATTACACCACTGAATTGCATGAACTGGCTTAGAAATAAAAGGCAAACTAAGAAAGAAACCAACACTTTTAAGCAGTAAAGTCATGTTAAAAAGAAAAAAATTGCATTACAAAAACCAATGTGATAGTATTTGTACTCAGAGGTTTTGCTTTTTAAATCAAACCACAAAATTAAAACTTAGTTACACTAATTTTTCTCCTTACCTCTCATCACAGTTCTTACAGATCGAATCAGGTTCATTAGCTGAGACTTAATTCCTGGCTCCTCTCCGAATCCACCAATTCCCTGGTCTGTTCCCCAGCCAACTGCATAATAGAAAGATGATTAGATGTGTTAAAATTTATTATGTGCTTGTCTTGCTCCTTCATTAGTCATATTCTAAAAGATAAGCTTACTTTTTGTTAAAGATACAAAAGTCATTTGACTTAAAAGTTAAAATACTGAGTTATATCTTATGATATATTGATTTTGTTTACTTTCGACAGCATGAACAAATTTCATTTCCACTTTTATTTAAAAAAACTTAGTCTAGGGCCTTCCAGGTGGTGCAGCAGGTTGAGCGCCGTTCTGTGAAGCTGTCTGCAGCCTCTGCAGTGTGGGTTCAATTCCCAGCCAGCCAGAGAGATTCCCACATGGCACACAGACCTCTCCTGCCTTGACCACTGCTCCCCTCAGGTCTGTCCTTCTGCCTGTTCTGCTCCCCCCTCTGTCTCTGGTGAATTCTCTCACCCTCTCGCGCCTCTGACTGTACCTCAGTTCTTGTATAAATAAATAAATCTTAAAAAAAAAAAAAAACAAAAACAAAAAAAACCTTAGTCTAAATTACTCCATGGCATTCCATTCAATGAAGAAGCCTACACTGCCCTGATTAGTCCCCCCAAAGTAATAAAACATTTTTCAGGTCAGAACAGAAAACCAAAGCATAGTGTCAAGTTGATTAATTAATCAGCTCAATCCAGAATTTTAAAAACCCAACATTTGTCTAAAAACATTATAGCTGAAATTCACATCATTTGGGGAAATTTAACATAAGCCCTATCACAGCTGGGCTAGGCCTTCAAAGAATGCTTCATCCTGCCAACAGGGCACACTTTTCCCCTCTTGATCACTCCTTTTCCTTTCTCAATTTTGAGGTGAGGAATTTAGTCCACTACCCCACTTATTCTCTGTAAATGGGTCTTTTACTCTCTGCATCACTTTCTTGACCCACACCTACTAATTCTTTTTCTATTGCCTTACACATTCTCCTAAAGACATCCATGTCCTCATTTCTACAATGTGCTCTTCTCTTGCCCTCATTTCAGGTCCACCTGCCATATCTCACATGACTACTTTTTTTTTTAATCTCATATGACTACAGGCTTTAATTAATTCCTGACATAATAACCCTTAAACCTGAAGACAAAGAACAAGTCTTCATTTATTTTATATATGAAAGAACCAAATATCAGGAAACAATCTCACTTTTTTAAATCAACTTTTATTTGGTTGAAATAAAGTTTAAATAAAGGTTTCATGTTCATTTGCCACATCAACACTGTAACACATGGTTTACAAATAATTTAATAGGGCCTTCTTGGTGGTTAAAGTTCTTAGCGCTATCAAACTGTCGTCAGCCACTGCAGCATGACTTCGATCCCTGGCCAGGGAGCTAACCCACACTGCACAGCAGACCTCTCTTTCTTGCCCATTGTATCCCTCAGTAGTGTATTTCAGTAGATCCATAAGTTCTGCTCCCCTCTCTGTCTCTGGTGAATCCTCTCACTGCCCCCGGCCCCACAACCCTGGCCTACACCCCAGTTCTTGTATGCATAAATAAAAATAAATCTTTAAAACTAATTTAACATTCGAGTTCACAACAGAGCTGATGTGCTTTGATCTTTATTCACCCTTTAAGACTTAGTTCACATTGTACTTAAGAAACAATCTAGGTAAGACCTCCCCTGGTGGTGCAGCTGTTGAGTGCTGGGCTGTGAAGCTGCCCGCAGCAGCCTCTGCAGCGCCATTGGATCCCCGGCCACCAGCAAGGGTCCCACATGGCTGCAGACCTCTCCTGCCATGCCCGCTGCTCCCCTCAGGAGTGTATTTCGTCAGTCTGCCTATTCTGTTCCCTGCTCTGGCTCTGGTGAATTCTCACCCTCCCAGGCTTCTGCCTATACCCAGTGTTTGTATAAATAAAATAAATAAATCTTAAAAAAAAAAAAAAGAAAGAAACAATCTAGGTAAAAGAAGTTACCAGTTGATTGAAGTCCTGTTGAACAATTTACTATATCCTGGAGTGGTGGGCCCTGTCCCGACACCCTGTCCAAACAATTTGGTCCACCCTACTGACCATAAGATGCCATGTTAGACAAAAAGGGTTAGATCTCACAATTTCCAGGAGGAAAAGGCTGAGAGCCCATGTATGTGCAGTTGGAATGTAACTCATCTGTGCATGCCTGAATGTACCCCAACCCAGAGCAAGCTATAAAACTGTTCTCCTTTCTATCTTATGGAGCTACATGTCAATTATCTCCTCCTAAGTCCCTTCGAAGAGTCAGGCTAAATTCTTTCCAGCACCAGTTCCCTCATGGACAAGTCTCTAATAAAACCTTGCCTGCTTCAACTACTAGTGCTTGTTGGTGAATTCTTTCTCTAGAGGGCCTTTGGGTTGGGGCTGGTACCACAGCCTTCTCAGTCCACACTTTTTTGAGTTGTACAACCACCATAGATCGCAGTGGTTACTGTCACAGTCTCTACAACTGTTTCAAGACTTTCCTAAGATGCCTCTGAAATCTCGCTGTGTCAATCTCTTGAGTTTTCTTCCTTAAAGGTCAGACCTTTCCACCTCACAATCATGTGGGGATTCCCACTGCCTGCTGCTCAAGTTGACATTCTAGCCTTATATCCCATCACAGTTCCTCAAATACTCCTATTGCACTTAATTACTAACTGTTGCACATGTTACATGTGGCAGCTTCTGAATGCAGGGCTATCTGATCATCCATTCAATTTTTATCATAAATAACTTCCAAAACTCTTTCATTCTCTTAGGCCTGTTCTAATAAGATGTTTAAATATGTCTTTACACAATTAAAGAAGCAAGTCCCAGAAAAAATACATTTTTCTACACTAAACTACTCTGACAAAACTACAATACGGGGTCTACAATGAAATTAACTGACCAAGTTCTCAGTTAATTCTAGACTCATCTCTATTCTTATGACACTAGGATGAAAAAGAAAATGGAATTTTAGCTAAAGAGAGCAAACCATTTCTTTAGATATTCCACAAATAAATACAAGGTAACAAGCGAAAGACCAGATGTAATTCCAGGGATTACATTTTACTAAAATAGCTTTCCCTCAAACTGCTACTTAGAGAGTCTCAGTTGTTTTTATAAGGAACCTGGCCAAAGTTTTAAGGGCTTTGCTTGTTTAAAGAGAAAGATTTAATTCTGTGGTTTTCTTGTGACTTCAAAAGCTAGAGGGTCTAGCAAGGAACAAATGGTTAAGACCAGCCAAGAGTTGCTGCTATAATTTTAGGAATGAATTTAAATGGCAAAAATTTCTGATTGCAAACACCAAGTTATGTTCTTCTGACTTATAATTTCCTAGGGCTATCATAACAAAGCATCGCTTTGTTGTGGTTTGCCGCAATAGAGATTTATTTTCTCACAACTCAGGAGAGTAGAAATCTCAAATCAAGTTGGTTCCATACGGGACGTTAAGGGATAATATCATCCATCTCTCTTCCTAGCTTCAGGTAGCTACTGGTAATCCTAGGCATTCTTTGACTTTGTGGCTACAATGCTTCCTTTTTTTTTTTTTTTAAAGATTTTTTTATTTATACAAGCACTGAGTACAATCAGAAGCACGGGAGGGTGAGAGAATTCACCAGAGCCAGAGCAGGTAGCAGAACAGGCAGACAGATGGAGGACACTGCTGAGGGGAGCAGCAGGCATGGCAGGAGGGGTCTGCGCGCCATGTGGGACCCTCCCCGGTGGCCGGGGATCGAACCGGGGCTGCAGAGGCTGCGGGCAGCTTCACAGCCCAGCGCTCAACCGCTGCGCCACCAGGGAGGCCCTACAATGCTTCCTCTTGAGTGGGTCTGTGCATCTCCATCTCTCTCCTTATATGGACAACATATTTGAGGTGGGATCTAGAATGCATCCTAATTCAATATAACTTATCTTAACCTGATTGATTACACCTGCAAAGACCCTGTTTTGCAAGAAGGTCACATACACAGGTACCTAGGGCTAAGACTTCAATACATCTTTTGGGTGGGATACAATTCAACCCACAAGATGATCCTTCCTACTTTCCTGTATAAAACAGTGGTAAAGAGATGGATTCTTTGAGTAAGAATGCCTATGTTTGAATCCTAGTCACTTTCTAGTTGTGTGACTTTTGAAAATTTACTCTCTATTATGCTTCAGGTTCCTCAGTACCTATCTCATAGGACTGTTGTGAGTTACACAGGGTAAAATATGTAAAGCACTTGATACAGACTTTGGCTAAGTGTTAGTTATTATTATTATTGTTCTTATACAAACTCAACTGATATTATACCCACCATATCTACAGCCCTGTTAGGAATGGTGCTTCCCATATCCACTCTTTTATCCATCCAATCTGTTCTCCACACTGTAGTCAGAAAGATCTTGCAAATCAAACACAGATCTGGTTACAGATCTGTTTAAGACCTTATTTTCAACTGCCTCAGAGTTTTCACACCAGCTAGCACTCCTAATGCTACCAACTTCTCCCAACCCTTCACACCTACTTACTTAATATTTACTCATTTATCAGGTTTTGGGTTAAACACACCTCCTCCAAGATGTTTTCCCAGATTCATAGGTTAGTGCCATTCTGCACTTGTCTTCCATAATATTCTGCATTACCTGTTATTGTGACTTGTTCAGATTTTATTTAGATTAATTTCCATTAGAAGGGCAAGGCAACTGCTGTAATCTCAGGTTCTATTACATGGGCCTTGCATATAATTTGTGCTCAATAAATCTTGCCTGAGGAATAAATGAAACGAATCAATCTTCCTTATTGGTTTGAGTTTCAGTGATTCACACAGACATAGCTGGCATACTGTGACAAACGAGGCACATCATAAAGTGGCCTGCCTCAATTTTGCCTCACATTGCAAGAAGCCGCCTGCCTAGGGTGGCACAGAGACTGGTGAACTTTGGTGTGCAGGTAGGCATAACTTGTGCCTCTCTATTCTTAGGTTCTAGCACAATTCCTGGCACATCCTGGGCACCTAAAAAGTTGTGCTTTATAGGGCCTCCCTGGTGGCGCAAGAGGTAAAGCAACCGCACTATGAAGCAATCCACGACCTCTGCAGCACGAGTTCGATCCCCGGCCGGCCAGGGAGAAACCCACATGGCATGGCAGACCTCTCCTGTCTGTCTCACCCACTGCTCCCCTCAGCAGTGTATTTCAGTCAGTCTTGCCTGTTCTGTTCCCCACTCTGTCGCTGGTGAATCCTCTCACCCCCGCACCTCTGGCTTGTACCCCTGCTCTTGTATGCATAAATAAATAAACCTTTAAAAAAAAAAAGTTGTGCTGAATAAACTTTTCTCGGAACGTGATGGCTGGATGTAATGAGAACCCCAGACCTTTCCCTCTCCTCTGACCCCCAAAGCCCAGGAAGCCCCCTAACCCTCTCAGTTCATTCTTCCAATTCCCTACGCTCCAAACGAGCCACGCCCCTCCCTTATCAACTGAAAACTCAGACCCGGATTTCTGACTAATAAACGCGACGCAGAGCCATGCCAGACTACTACCCACTAACCTAACTCTGGCAGGCAGGGGCGTCCCGGGCCCCCCGCCCTCGCCCCCCGCCCCCCGGCCGGCGCCGGATGGGCTATCACAACAGCCTTCAGCCGCTGCTGAGTAAAGCCTGGCCCCGTGAGAGAGACTCAGCTCCCTCCCACCTCCCCACCGACGCCACCTCAAGGAAAGGCCCCCAAGGGAGAGCCCGCGGCTGCCCGTCGCCCCCTCCGCCCCCCCCGCCAATCCCCCGACGCGGCGAGGCTCGGGTCCGCGCCCCCGGGCTCCGCCGCCGCCATCTCGGCCCGCCCGGGGCCCGACTCACTGTTCTTGAGGAAGCGTTCTTCGTGGAGCACCGCGATGGCGTTGACGCACAGCAGGGCCGCCTGCAGCAGCGAGTACAGGGTAAAGGCCATAGTTACCGAGCGCCCAAGCCCAGCGGGTCGCGCTCCGGCCGCCGCAGGGGACGTGGCGCCGCCGCCGCCGGCGCGCTCCTACGGAGGCTCGCGAGGCCCAAAACGCCTCAGCGACGCTCCGCCCTGTCTGGCTGCGACACGCCCGCGCCGCGCCGCGAAGGCCGGTCCGCCTGCTGTCTAGACCCGTGTTGGCTCGTGCAGTGTCGCTTGTGGACTTGGAATTCTTGAGATGAGCCTGGTCCAGAGCGAATCGAGGTGCTGTAAGGGTGAAATACACACCGAACTTCGAAGATTTAGGACGAAAACAACGTAAAATCTCCCAATAATTTAAAAAATGTTTTAGTATATTAGGGAAATAAAGGACTAACATTGATTTTTACTGTTGTGTTTTTTTTTTTTTTTCCGGCGTTTTTAGGATTGTGGCTTTGAGTGCATTGAAAATGACGTGTGAAGTTTGCGGTTGAAAGGTCCATGCAGGAGGCCGGAATGCAAAAACCCACCAGGTAGCCCACCTGGGGGCAGGAGTGTGGAAAACCTGCCTGGAGGACTAAGAAAATGAGCCTCCCCTCTCCCCCTACGAGTCTCTTCTCAGACAAAGAACCTCTACCTACCCCACGAAACTCCCCCCGCCCAACAAACTTTTTCCCGCCGTGGGAGCCCAACTTCCCACCTGACCCCTCCTTACCCTATAAAACCCTGCTTCCCCCTAACAACGTGCGCGGCTTCACTGACCCCCACCTTGGGTGCATGAGGTCCGCCCGGGGCGCAATAAACTTTCCCTCCCTTTGAGAAATTTAGCCTGGCTCTCCTTTTCTTTACCGCGCTGAACCTTTCAGCGGTGTCTTTCAACTGCACAGCTCTGGATTCGATCCTCCCAACACATGCATAAGATGTTAATTTTCCTCTTTTACAGACAAAGAAATGGAGGCTTTGTGAAGTAAAAAAAAATTTTTTTTAATAAAATAACAGGTCTTAAAATTACTCAATGAGAAACGTTCTCTCCGCTATCAAATTCTAGCCAGGCTCCTTTAAGCCCTCTTGCTGAGACTCAACCATGACCTATACAAACTGCAGAGTCTCAACACGAATTATTTCATCCACCCCTCTACCCTCACATTCAAGGTTTTAAACTACCACTAACATAGTTTTGAACGGCACAAGGCCCCATTCCTAGCATGTCCCCAACCTTTCTTAAAGTACCTGCCTGAGAAAGCTGGAGGCTGCCAAAAGAACCAACTCTTTGTTTTAGCCCATTCCCTGATCACCTTTCTTAGAGGACTTGCAAATGTGAATCCTTCCTTTCTCCCTTTGAGATGTAGATGCATTTCTTACAATTTAGGAATGTCTTCCAAAAGATCTGAAAGCCGCTCCTTTAAATATAATCATCAGGAAGTGTAGGCCTCTCAGTCTCCAAGGGAAGGTAAAATCCTACCTTTGATCTTGCCAGCTAGCAGACACAGCTGACCTAATCAACATTTACACTGACCCCCCCCTTTGTAATTTTTCACTTCCCCTGACTTTTATTAAACTCCCTCCCATCCACCCACCTTCCTCCTCTCTTCTCCCAATTCTCCCTGTAAATGCCCTCCTTAGAATAGTCACCTCTGTACAAATTGAATTTAAATTCAGTCCACACTTGACCCTCCTCCCTATTGCAATAGTATATTACAGATTAAAATCTGTCTTTGGTACTCTGGCTGGTATCTGGCTTTGTTTATATTTGACAGCAGCAGTTAAGAGGCTGAGTTCCATCATGTTAAATTTTAGATATTGTTTGAGGACAAGTATGTAAAGTATTTACATATTGAACTTCTTAGGGCTCCCTAAGATAGAAAAGAGGACAAGCAGGGCCTCCCTGGCGGCGCAAAGGGTTAAGCACCGCACTATGAAGCAATCCGCAGCCTCTGCAGCAAGTTCAATCCCTGGCCGGCCAGGGAGCAACCCACAAGGCGCAGCAGACCTCTCCTGACTTGCCCGCTGCTCCCCTTAGCAGTGTACTTCAGTCGATCTGCCTGTTGTCTCTGGTGAATCCTCTCACCCCCGCATCTTTGGCCTGTACCCCAGCTCTTGTATGCATAAATAAATTTTAAAAATCTTAAAAAAAAAAAAAAGAAAAAAGAAAAGGGGAAAAGCAGCACATTCAGTCCTAGAACTTTGGAAGCTCTTGTGTTGCTAATACTGGAAGAAATAGAAGAAGGAAGAACAAAATAATTAAACTCCCAAGAAGAAATTAAACTTAATTTCTAGTTAGGGTCTATAGGGATAAAGAGATATATCAATTCCACACACATAAATAAACATTATCTCCAGAATTGGCCCTAAGTGCACATCAGATAGGAATAAACACAGAAGATAAAGAGAAACAACAGTACACTGACAAATCCTCCCATTATTGAGGCCCGTAAAACTCTAGACTCTGGTGACAGAAGGAAAATTGTACCTGTAAGTGGACAGCTACCATGCCAAGATTTCTGTGCTTGACTGGACAGAGGAAGGAAATACCAGAGGGCCTTATGTGTAAGCTTTGGTTGAGCAGTGAACTGTATATATATATTTTTTATTAGATTGCATGCTTACTGAGGACAAGAGGTAAAGGGGGATGACTGGAGAATATGGGGGTGGGTGAAGTGGAGGTGGGCATAAGCCCTCCTACAGATAATTTGTGTCACTAGCCTCTGGGTTGCAACTCACATTGTTAGGGGAAAAAGGCTGTCCCAAAGCTAATTCCATACAGGCTTTGTGGACTCCACCCCCACCCCAGTGTTAGGGGGAAAAGGCTGCCCCAAAGCAAATTCCATACAGGCTTTGTGGACTCCACCCCCACCCCAGGCCAAAGCCAAAGACACTGGGAACTCTACATCCCATCACCACCCAAGGGAAGGTGGCTGGGACCTGAGGGTGGGGTTAAGCAGCCAGGTGGATACAAAAGGCAGACATGTGGGCTTTGGGGCTCTCTCCATTTTGGGGCCCTCGGCCAGCTCGCGGCGTCCGTCTAGCTCTGAGAGTGACTTTGGGTTTCCAGGTCGTCGGATCGAGTAGGACGCATTAAAGACTTTATTTCCCTATTTTCTCCCTGAGTTGTACATTTTCCTTATTTCTTTTTCTCTTGTAAATAAACCTTTTATTAACCCTTTTGCGTGTGTCTGTAGTAGAGTATTCATAAGTCCCTTTAAAGCGCGCGGGTGAGGACCCACAGCCAGGAACCCGTTTAATATCGGGGTTGCTCTATAACAACATGATCCAATTCTTTCATTAGCAAAAGAATCAAATTACTTCATCATAAAATTAGGTGATTCTGATCTCTAAGGTTGCTTCAGCATCACCCCTTCTCCCATCTCTAAACCCAGCAAAAGCAGCTTCAAATATAAGATAATGTACAGCTGCTACTGTTATAGGACAGGGAGAGGGGCAGCCCAAACCAGGGAACCTCCCCCTTTCCTGGGGACCACCCTGTTACACTACTAGCAGATTATCTGATTCATTATTTTTATAATAATCCAGGTTTGTGGTCTAAGCTGACAACAGCAGACCATATCCTTAAAAAGAATTGTTCCTCTTATATCCTTACTTGCAAAAAAAATTCAAACGACTGTAACAGGGTGGTCCCCAGGAAAGGGGGAGTTTCCCTGCCCCACCCAAGGGAGGGTGGAGCTGAGCAGGAAGAGGAGAAGCAGAAGAAGAGACTGAGGAAGGAAGCAGGATGGAGCCAGGAGACCTGGAGGAGGCGCATGGAGCCTAGAGACACGTGAAGAAGCTGCGCTTGTCTTTTGGTCTGGACGGGGTGACACAGATGTGGGTGAGACCCGTGGGGAGGTGACAATGGCAGCTTTTATCTTGATGTTGATTTTGCTCTTTTCCTTCCGGGCTTGTCCGGTTGTTTGTGACTCTTTTCTGTGGGTCCCCACTGGAAGATGCTTTAGACTTGGGGCAGGCTTTGGGGCCTTGCTCTGGGCCGATCTCATATGGATGGAGTTTTACCCACGAGGGGACGGGTAACTTTGGGTGCTTCATTTAGAAACTAGACTCTTTGCCTTACCTGTATTGTTTCCTAGTTTTTATTAAAGTTCCTTCCCATTAAAGTGTCATATGTTTTGTGTTGATGCGGCGGATGGCAGAACCCATTTAGAATAGGCAGGTTTGCGGGGTTTGGGCTGCCCCTCTCCCTGTCCTATAACAGGTTGGCGCCCAACGTGATCTTTTTAATATATTTATCAAACAGTTGTCTCCTTTAAAAAAAAAAAAATCTGTCCTGTGAAAAAAGAACTTGGTAAGAGGCATATTTTGCATTTTAGGATTTTGGGAAAAAATTACTGATTATGGTTTATTTAAAACTAGAACTTGCTTTGTTGGTGCTGAACTTCTGATGTCTATGATACCGGAATTGTCAGGCCTAGTCTCCCAGCCAGGAATGGATTCCAGGCTGCAGGGCAGCGCTGAGCCCCAGCCGCTAGACCCCCCACGGGTTGGTGTCTCACGAAGCCGCAGCAGGAACTTCGCAGACGCTCAGGCAAGCAAGCGAGCAAAGGCAGGTTTGTTTAGAAGAAGAAGAAAGTTTATTGAGGAGAAAAAGAGCAGAAATAAAGTGGGACTCCCAGGCCAGGGAACCAGGCTGGGAGGGGCAAGGAAGCCAAAGTGGAGTCGTATCTCAGGGAATATATACTTTCTTTCCCTGATTATTCTAAAGCTCTACCAGTCTCTTTGTGATTGGTCAGTTCTTGGCTGTCTCACTTAATTTGCTAGTGAGATCTTCACATTCCTTATCTAACAGGTTTGTCTTTCCCCATTTGTTACACCTTTATCTTTATGGCCTAGTCTTCCCGGAGAGCATCTCCACACCTTATCTTTATCACCTGAAGAAAACCAGGACCATCCTGGGATGTTTGTTTTTCCCAGTGGAATTGGTTACATTCCCTTGGTTGTCCTTATCTCTGAAGCCTCCCTTAATTCTTCAGAGGTCCCCTCCTGCACTGTCCCTAAAACTGCCTAATAACCCTAGCTTGCCCTGTGTCTCATCTATATAAAATATTTTCATGCATTCTTGTTAGATATCCTACAGGATA